TGGAAACTAGCCTCGTTACCTTGATTGCTGGAACACGTTGCCTTGTTATCTCTAACGACGACCTGGAAATTAGTGTTTCATTTATTCTACAAAATTTAAATGGGTTTTGATGTTTCGCGTTTTTGCTTTTGGGTTTTGATTCATCTGAAAAAATTTCTTGATTAATGGCATCAAATTCGATATTTTTATAGTAGTATGTTGTCTTATGTCATTCTAGGTTTCGGTTGGTTTTTGATCAATAATTAATTAAGTTAAACTAGGTTTTTTGTTTGAATCTTCTTCTCGGGCACATTTTTGCTTTATTTCTTCAGACCGGTCAATGGGTTACTTAATCTACTACTTACAACTCATCAACGTTATGCATTAATTTTATTAGCTTTTGGCATTTGAATTATAATTTTATTTTTGTACAGACTCCGGTTGGGAAATTAGGCTTAAACTTAGTGCCATCTGCTGCCCAGTTGAGATCCTTACGAAAAGGATCAAATGACCAACTTGCCATTACCATTGATTCGCAATCTGAACGATTGCTTAATAATAAATCCAGAACTTTTGAAGATAAAGGTTTGTTTTTTAATAAATAATTTGGTCAGACAAATTATTTGGGAAATTGCAATTGAAAAATCTTAATTCTAAAATACTTTCAGGTCGCATATTCAAGCCACTTGAACACAAACCTGCTGATGGTGGTTCTAATCTTCCATCAGCACAAAAAGACATTGTAGCTGCTAGGAAGAGGTAAGATTTCACATTACTTATCTATTAGTTTCATTTCCATCCATGATTGTTGTAGTTTTATGGTGAATTATGTTGACAGAGAGCAATGTTTATTCAAAAAAGATTACCCTAACGTAATTAACTTTTGGCGTATCTGTTTTGCGAATTTCTTATGGAATCCGGAAGAAATTGGAATTTGAGCTTCCGCTCATCGATGTGTTTGGTTTCTACATGGAGGAAATTGAATTTCGATTGAGTCTTACATATTCCATCTTTAATGGATTTCACCATTCCTACGGTGGATAGGTTGACGAAGATTCAAATCTGTTATTCTTTTATTAGAAAACCAATGTACCCTCATTATATATTTGTTAGACTAAATGAATATAATAATTTAGTTATATATATTTACAATAAACATCACAGTAAGCATAAATTAAAACTGCAAGATTATTTATTTCTTATTATGGAATTCCATTTCATTTCCCCTTTGTTAACTGTCACCAATCAAACTTATTTATTTTGTTAATACTTCCTAATTCTGGCTCATACAAATCGACTTTTGAGTTTTCAGGGTTACTAAATGTTTTGCTTACACCAGATGAGAAGCAAATGACAAGTGAAGTCTGCATTGCATTTATACAAGGGGTACTATTCTTATATATCTCTTGAGTAACATTCTACTATTTCTTTTTCTTTGCTGTAACGTTACATTTTGAAAAATCTGTCAATTTGTATGATTGCAACTTGCTTTGTATTTGGATTATAGAAGATGAGGGGTAAATTTTGCGTGTGTTCGAATATTATGAATTTTTTTTTTTTGAAATGCAGAAGATGATGGAGGATCCAACTGTACAAAAAATGGTGTACCCGTAAGTTGTTGATTTTCCAGCTTTTCAACTTTTGGCAAATAGTGAAAAGGGCAAAGCCAAAGCCAATCAAACAAAAAACAAAAAAATCTGTCCGGTTGCAGCGATTGGCAGCCTTAGGATGCAGCACATTTTCTTTTTAAATATTATGGGTACTAATACAGAAGTGTAAGTGGGTTGCTATTATTAGTAAGAAATTGTGAGTATTGATTTACATTGGTTTTCACAGGCTTACACGAAGTTCTGATTAATCGATTTGGGGTTGAGAAACAGTTAATTTTTCCCCCCCTCTATTCTGCTCTCTTTTATAACCTCACATTTTGTAATCAAGGTATTCATTTGGATAGTTAAGTATCAAATGAGAGCTGCTATCTTTATATATATTAATCAGTTTCAGTCGTTGTCTGCATTAGTATTTTGGACTTCTTTTCGGC